GAAATGATCGGTGATCCCGATGCCGTCTACTTTTAGTAGCTTCTTCCTTGGCTTTGATTGATCCTCATCTCAATTTGCATTGCACTGTGGTCTGATCTTCTTGAGGCTAGTTGGTTGGTTGCGCCGCCCTATTTCCTACAGTGTAATAGCGGACGTCTCTGCGTCCGCCGTTTAGTTTGGTACTTTGGGCGTCTCCTCCAATCAAACTGATGCGTCCGTTTTAATCGAGCTTTCCTGACTCCCTTATGAGTTTCTCACCTGGTTGCTTTCGGGTCTCAGAGCTCTGTGTTTCTGGCGTTCTCTTGGTCTCAGTGGTGAGTAAACATAATCAATTTCGATATGTTTGTTGACAGTGCCACGCTTCCCTTGGTTCATGTACTTTCTTCGTTCTTGTTTGAACCAGTAGGCGAACACCTCTCTAGTCCTTCTTGATCTTTGTGCACGGAGATCAGAGGAAATCGATCGTGTCGTTTAGTAGTGAGCTTGTGTCGATATATCTGGTGAAGAGCTTCCTTTCCGTTTATCCCCATACACTGTGGGTGGCAGTCATTGCATTGGATCTAGTATGTGACATTGCTCTTCATCATTGTGTATACTTTGCCTTTGGTTCCCATAATGTCCTACGCAAAGTGTTCATAGGTGTGTAAGTGCCGTCGTATTGTGATGTCACAGGAGTCTTGCCGTCATTTCAGCGGTGTTCTTCATGTTTGCGAGTGTGGCTCATTTGCTTCCACTCTGTGTTGTTGCATTGGTCCTATTTGGCTTCCTGAGTGATCTTCAGATGAAATTCCTTTTGTATCCAGTTCTCTTGGATAATTTGTATAGATGTTTTAATCTTTAATTCCGCCGTGCTGCAATGCTCCTTGATCCGCTTACAAAGTGTCGCCCCAATGTAGCTTTGTTTGTGACAATTTGGATGGTCGCTGTGGTAACTCAGAAGAGACTACTACTGACTGGGGAAGTTAGTGCGAATTAAATCGAAGGACAGTCTACTCACTGTGTCAGCGCAGATAATCTGTCATGTATTTTCATGTAAACGGATGAAACCCCGAATAAGCCCATGAATAAATCGTTGCAAATCGTTGTCTACCCTAACCATCACAATGTTCGCAACTATTCACAACTTCATTACTTCGTTGGTTGGGAGACTTTCTATCGAGGTCAAGTCAATCTATGCCGAAAACGCGAAAAGCACTGCACCGCTGTTTCATCCTCCAGGGAAACAGTCATCAGTGCGTAACTCACGCAACTCCAGGAAGTTTCGAACTAATGACTTACGGCCAGTAGCTGAACACCAAATCTTTCGGTCAAAAGCCGTTGATCGGCAGTGATTAACCCACACACAGAGAGAGCAAAGCCCCACTCATTCTTCAGTCGTGGCGTTCACATTACTTGATCACTCAAGGTGCCAGTCAGCACGTGAGCACTTGCCGTGAACTCGTTGGTTAAAGGAGATTTGTTATACCCAGTCCCAAATTAAGTTAACTGAAATGCTGATCAAGCATTGTGACTGAACGTGTTAGTCCTCAAAGCGAGCCATGATGTCGCTGGATCGAATCGCCCAGGAAGCTAGAGAGATACGCACTGATAATGATTTAAAATAATAATGAAGCAGTTGACCAATGGGTCTCGACTTCCCCTCCCCCAGAATCAAATCTCGACCGACTTACATTGGTCACAAACTACAGCAAACGAAACCTAGTTGTGATGTTGAACCCCTATTTAAGCAACACACAAATTCATTGAAAAAATAGTCTTCTGAGGTGGCCGTGCACTTTGCGCTCGTACCTTATTTGACTTCCACAGTGTCTGCTCTGTTTCTGTTCCCCAGCTGCGTGTGTTTTGTGTTTCGACACTTTTCCAGAGTGCGAACTGTTGACAAGGGTTCAGTTGCTAGGACGCGCTCACATATGAAAAAGCACGCGTACAGATAGGGAGGCATCCCCAAGGTCACAACTAAGCTCACCAAACACGGCTCAGCAACATAAGACCAATGGAGTGGGACTGAAATTGTTCACGACCGAAACACTGCCATTGGTTGTACGGAACGAACAAGTGAACACATTTACGCCCACACACACATTTAGCCCACACATTTACGCAGAATCTCTGTATGTTTTGTCCTGACAATACAGCCGTGTCCGGGGTTCTCTGTCTCCGCCTTATCGCGCAGTCTGGCAGGCTCAGTGCAGGCGTAACCAACAGACGGCTACCCACGATACAATATCAGTGTTCCACCCATATCATGATAATTAACCAACAACTTCCAATGAAATCCAGTATGATAACTAATGTGTTCTACAAGATTCTACATGAAGCACTGAGTCGAAGCGAAATGTCTCAATGACACTGATGTTCGACGACTTACTAGCCCGCATAAATTTCGTTATTTTGCCAGAAGCCAGTGGAAAATGTACGAATGCGGACCCACTGTAAGATATTTAAAGACAGGACAATGTTCTTAGCGTTACGCTGACCGAACTGACCATGTTTACGGTTTGACGGTAAACTAGGGAAATCTAAAGCTAAGTGCACTCGGCCTCTTGCTAATTTGATACGAGCTCAGAAAACTGCTTTTCTCTATAAAAGAAAAAGGACTTTCTATTTGAAATTGACAGTCGCCACACATAGATGGCAACGCAGTCTCACCTTAGGGTTCCTCGGAAGCGAATGTGCAGTCAACCGTCGTGCTGACAACCGACAGAGCTAGAAAAGTAAAACAGTAGTTAACACTGACAGCAGTATTTGAAGCACAGATGCAAAAACAAACTTGAATCGAGTGTCATTTTGTACTGATAACGTTACTTTACACTTTGTAGTCAGCCCTCTATGGTGCCTCGGGACGTATCCTTGATTTACGGATGTGGGCTACATCTCCAGGGTGGCACTATGCAACAGTATGGTGTATGCGACCGAGGCCCCCTATCATGTGATGTCTTCGTCTGGGGTGTTCACTTGGTGTCCACAGCCGTTATGATGTATTGACAACATTCGGGCGTCACAGAACAACAACAATCAAACCCGTATCCTACACTTGAGTCACTATCGTAATCGGAACCCGCCCCCACCCCTACGAGAATGCAGACATTCAAGTCCTCCTTACAACGTTCCCAAAGATCCAAAGCACTTGGAATCTAACAGACGACAATTGTTTTGCTGCTTCTTTAACAGGGGAGTTATTTTTAAAAACGAGTCCACGAGCTTAAATCGCTCTGTGTAGAAGTGACAGATACTTCTTCTCGGTTACATTCTTCATCCGAGTGTAAAGGTAGGTGTTGGAAAGTGAACACTTTGTGCAGACCGACGGTAGCTTAGGTTCCACAGCCCACTACCATCCACCATGCAAGTATGGAAGAACCAAGCAATGGGATTTGACAACCGATTGTTTGAAGCCTTGTCATCTGTCTGGACTGGTACTCTGAACCTAATTGCCTGTCTGTTTTGATCCATCAGGGACGTGTCGAGGCTCTCGAAAATTCAACTTCATTGTGCGAATGTTGGGCGCCAGTTTAGACGTACTTGTTGCATCCATGATGTTCAGTCAAGTCCGCCACAACTAGTCGCCGCTGTTTTTTTTAAGAAAACAAGACTGATTAGTGACGTGTATTTGCACACTAGAGCATGTCAGTAATTTAAAAGAGAACCCGAAGAGATATTTTTGACGTTCCCTGTGAAAGTATGTGATGATTTAGAAGATACTTCCATTCGGAAATCGATTTCAGTGCTACAGGATACTACTTGTAGACTCACAAATGAGTAATGTAGGTAGCCGTCGGGGGCTTCTGGACCATGGAATTCTGGAATGCAGAGTTTGACTAGTTTGCCCCGAAAATCGCTGTTAAACGGAAGCCTAAAGTGCATCGCTTTCCTGTCGTGAGAACTTTTGCTTTTTAAACGAGTTTCGAATTCTCTGTCCACTGTATGTGTGTGATCTGAGGAGAATTTTTCGGAACCTTTGTTCGTCAATTCATGTACCTCTAAAATCATGACCAGTGCAGGTCAATAAGTGCCGCATACTATGACACCAGCTGCTCACTTTCTCAAAAGGCTGACGGCAATTTTGCTAGTCTTGCTTCACAATTTAAGAGCGGCTTCTAACGTGCATTTCCAAACTAATTTCTTAAAAGACTGTTTGATTCCTGTGCACCAGTCTATTCATAAACATTTTGTACCTTTCAACGTGTTAGGCAGAATTCCACACGGATCCCGCTATACCTCACGTCTTTAGGTGCTGCTACGGCCGATAGGCCTAGCCCGCACCAGATTGGCCAAGAATTCGGGACGCCTGTCGGTCCGGCATCAAGACGAGATCGGATTGGTCGAAAATCTGGGCCCAACAGCCAACCATGATCCAGTATTGGCCGAATGCTGGTTGCCAATGGCGCATCCAGAACGCGTCAGAATCTCCAGAAGGTTATAACCGCCTACGCTATATATACGAAGCGCTGTACAACTGTTCTTGACTTCGTTTTGGGCATTAATAGACCTTGTGCACCTTTGGTGGTTGTTTTGACGTGAACGCTAGCTTGGGAGGCTCAGACGGAGAACTAAGCTGAGGAAAATACCGTTAATACTCAGCGTCAACGCTGTCCAGTGTGAATCCACAAGTTGGGTTTCAAAACCCTCACAAACATCATCATCTTCAGCAGCCTCTCCCATAATGCACACCTTAGATGCCCAGGTCTCACAGACAGGACAAAATCTCGATTGACAAATAAAATATGTTAATGGGAGTCAGTGAATGTTGACTACCTTCTGGCGTCCTCCCCGTGTACTTTCGAGAAAGCAGGGGTGACCTCAAAGCCAAGTTCTCTATAAATGCTCCACTTCAAAGGTCCATCAACCGTCCCACATTACAAGAACTGTTGACCCGTATCCCGCACGATCAACAAGACACCTTATCGCTTGCCCTCGATGCCTCTGGGCGTTCTGGACAACAGGATTAGTTTAGTACACAGATCGGCACACAAATCGAGGTTCGAATGCCATTCACCACTTACCCTTCATAAAGAACGGTATTTGATTCCGCATGTAGAGATTGAATGTGTTGACGGGATTGGTCCAGTCAAATTGTATAAAACGCTTTTGCAATTTGTACAGATTAAAATTGACCATGCCTCGAAACATTACAGGAGATCCCGTGAACTCGAAGCCTTCCAGTACGGTAGATTCAACCACCTGATTCATGTCGAAGTTTCTGTTTAGTTCCTGAATCTGAATAAATGGTTCATTGTTGAAAATCAATAAGTATGTTTTAAGCGTTTGTGAATACTGTTATAAGAACTGCCGCGTTAAAAAAGAATTGAGGCATACATGAACGCGACATATCATCTGGCTGTAATATAATAAGAACGTCACTGGAATGCTATGCGCAAAAACCGTACAATACACGTGCTTATTACGACAACGTTTGAGTCTTGTTAAATTTCATTCATTATTTCAAGCCCCCCCCCCCCCCCCCCCTTGGGCAGTGGCTTTGTCCGGAAACTTGGGGCTGGAGGTGTGTGGGTTTTCTCATTCCAATAAATAATCGTATCAGCTGACTGATACGTCCAAAGCGTCACGTGACTCGACCTCACCAGCCGTGGTGGGAGAACGGTACTCAGGCTTTTGAAGCCATCGGGGTAGAAGACACAAACCAGAAGTAGCGTTATTATTGGCTCGTAATTACTATGTAATATTCACGATGATGATGAACCAATGTCGGCCAGTTGAAAATGTTGTAAAACAGATGTCCTTCGTTTCGCCACAGCTCTGATGATCGACTTGGTTGTAACAGTACTTGATGTCAGTGAGTTGGTTTCAACATTAGTAATTGGACATTACTGTCTCCAACAACCCACGATCGATTTCACGATTTTGGGCTCATTATCAAGGCGAAGTCCCTGAGGTTCCGTCAACTTTGTGTTCAACTTGAATCCAAGTGGTTCATTACATTTCAGAAAAATGCTTCGTAATTTTTATGGAAGATGAGGGGTGTAGCTACCCGGTCAATCACACACTTGACTGTTCAGCTCACAGTCGCTCACCGGATCACGAGACCTGTCTTTTTTCATACCCACAAACACGCCACATTAAGGTGACCCATCGGATGTCGATTGTCTGTACCGTCTAGTGAGCGTAGTAACCACTCATGTGCTGAAACGCCTACGTACGCGCAAACGGACCTGCATGTGTAGGGAAACCGAACACAGTCAGAATACACAGATTCGCGCGCGCGCGCGCGAGCAAGAAGTCAACCACTCTTCACAAGTCCACGGACAACGATGGAGCACATGTTGCAGCCACCGTCCGGACTTTCACCAAGGCACTCTCACAGACGATAAGTTCCTCCTGTTGACTTGCTCCCATTTTGCACTGTATTTATTTTTATACGAGTTGCAACCCACCACTGTCAACCATACTAAAAACCTTTATTAGTGCATATACCTTCCAATTTGTGTTAAGGCCATCATCAGCAGTGCACCAATAGGGGAACGACAAGCAGTGTGATCATTTGGTTAACCAAAAGAGCCTAAAGCGGTAGAAATAATATCGAGGTGTTGAAAACATAGCCTTTTGGGACACAGTCTCTCTACAACCTCATATCAGGTAAGACAGACGTCGGTCGTTGAAAATAGATGAAAGTTCTGCTGGATATGTTGTCAGTTATTTATTATTTGGGAGCTTGCATCAGTTTCAACATTCCAATGAAAAATTCTCAATTGGGTTTCATGAGGTACCCGATTTAGTGGACTACCTTGCTTGTTCACCAGTACTGACAAGTATCGTCAACAGTCTGCAACCTATCCACTTTTTCATAATAAAAAACGATAGGTTCGTTTCTGCCAACTGATTTCACAGTCATGGCTTAGAGCTTCATTATCACGGTGAACTCACTTTGGTCATCATATCTGAGAGGGCTTTGGCTTGGCTGCTTTTGCTCGCGTCTACGGTCATGTTTGGCGGGACCGGAAATCTGAAGCGAACCTCTAATAGAGGATAGACAAAGCGCGTAATTTTGTCAACCACAGTATTATTATTATAGCATAAATATTTCATTTTTGTTGTAGACTGAGCAGAAAAATTTTCCAAGGGCAATTCTAGGTCCTGGAGCATAAATGCTTTTTGGTTATCGTACGGACGGGAAACGCCATGGCGACAGATGATGAATTAAGTTTATTGCCTGTTCGCTTAAAACGAAATCATTCGCCCTCTAGGCCTGGTGATCAGCTGATCTAAACTCATCTCAGTCATCTGGTTACAGACAACCATGTTTGCAGCCCGCTCATATGGAACCCAGACGCCACGCCAATCTTATTAACACCTGTTTTCTCTGAATACAGGAACAAAGAACCCTTAGGTACTCTTAATTCCCAAGGCCATTTCGTTAAACCTGTTCAAACAACTTGGAAAAGTTCGCTTGGGCAAATGATGAACCTTAAAGACGGTTCAGAGCAGTAAGAAACCCTCTTAAGGGAAACAGCATTGCTAACCGGACGAGTTTTACTGATTCACAGCTCATTACGACTCAAGAACTCGTAGGTGGATGAGCTCTTGTCACCACTACTTCGGTGCGTTATGGTATCTACATCGACAACGACTAGCCTTTGAAACCGTTTACTTTCTCTCGGGCCCATTTTGTGGAACCTCCTCCCATGATAACGGATTGTGACAGATGCACACCTGTATGCATGTGTATCTGTGTTTGAAGGACGGAACTATCGGGTGAGGTGGTCTCCAAGCTGTTTTCGTCTGAAGTTGATGACCGAATATTGTCGTCTTTATTACTCAAGTTTTAAGATATAAACTGCCATCATGAATCTAGAAAGCTTGTCTGTTATCTTGACGGTACACATTGCTGAAAACTCTTCGACAGAACACGACAGGTTTCGCCTTTCTTGGAGCTCGTCAGGTAGGTGCGCTTCTTGAATTTTTGTCAACAATATGTTCTAATTGACCCCGAATTGGTCACAGTCCGTGAAATACATTCATTTACACACTGATTTGCTTCGAACGAAGAAACTTATCAGAATCCAGCTGATTTTCTTGTCTATGATGTTTAACCAAATGTGCTAAACACGGCCACTTCGAGTTCCATTTAGAAGGATTAGAATATCCGCACTGAGGCGTAACCAAGCCCTGAGTTAGATGACAAGGAAAATAACTGCACGGCTTCATTTCAAATCTAAGTTACCACTTACACAGAAGAACATGAGAAACAAAATCGGAAAAGGGATCTTTTCCGCCTTCTTTGGACGTCCAGGTAAGACATACTTATGTGGATAGAAATGTTCGTCAGCACGGGACACTACGGAAAAGTAACGAGCGAGTTAATCCCAGATTTAAGATGTGTTTGCCAAAGGGAAGAAACTCATGGAATGGCAGCGAGGAGGAACAAAAGAAACGATACAAGCACATTAGAGCAAGGAATAAATCCAGACACAGGGGCTTATGAATGGTTCCTTGATACCGTGTGAACAACACTGCGCTTTTTCATAAAGGAAACTACTCATAAGGTTGCTGAAAACTCTTCGACAGCCCACGTCCGGTTTCGCCTTTCTTGAGGCTCATCAGGTAGGCGAATTCCCCGAGTTTCCGTCAACCTTATGTTCTACTTGAACCCGTGCTTTGTTTATAGACAACCCTTTGGCTGGACGTTGTACACGCAAACTGGTTGCTTAAACAGTAAGTCCAGCCTCTGGTGTAAACTATATCTTAGATTTAATTCATTTCAGGATTCCATCTGGCTCTGGGGGGGGGGGGCCGAAAAGGCCCAAATTCCGCGTTCAACGGATGTGGCGTATGAGAATCTGGTCCAAACAGTGTTTGGTACACACGAGGATCCTCGACGTTCACACATCACCACAGTTTAGAATTATATGTCTATGGATAAATAGGCATTCCGGTCGAGTCAAGTAAATGTTCTCAATTCTTAAGATAAAGCATATGACAGAACTGACTGTTGAGCAGAACTGAATCAGCCATTTTCGCCTGGCCTAAAAGTTCCAGTCAGACATGCAGAGATCCAGAGGACACGTTGTAACAAAATGCTGGTCATGGGCTGTCGAAGCGTTTTCAACAATCTTGTGAGTAGTTTCCTTTATGAAAATATACTGCGATATCTCGAATATGATATCAACTGAAACATGAGGCGGCCTGTGCGAAGCACACTCAGTTGTACAATATCATAAACGAGAGATTCCAAATTGATTTGTAAATGAGTTTATTTCTCGAAAACAGTCCAATTTGAGTTCAAGTAGAACATAAGGTTGACGAAAACTCGGGGACTGCGCCTCGCCTACCTGCCCGAAGTGGAAGAGTGAAACCGGTCCTGGGCCGTCGAAGAGTTTATAGCGACCTTGTGTGTGATTTCTTTTTTGAAAAGAGAACCTCCCAGAGTTACTTCAGCCACCACCACAGATATTTCTAATTTGTAAAATTACAACGCTTCGCTACCACTTTACATTCTTCTAAGATGATCCTTTCATTTGCTGTGAAGAGTTTGGGATGAAGGGAAGCAATAAAGCCAGAATTGACCAATCTGATAACCTTCGCGGACAAGCCAAATTAGCACCTCCGTCAATGCTATTTCACAGGGGAGGTATGAAAATGGGCAATACATTTTGACAAATTTTCAACTGAACTTTTTACACTTTCGGTGCACTGACCTCCCGGATGTCTTGAACAAAAGAAAACTTCACAGCTTGCTTAACTATGATATCGATGGGACGATTTCTCCCAACTTTGTGTATAAAATCATGCCTATACTGTAGGATGTACCGTCTCTGAACATTTCCTTTGAGAACTTAAGGGCTGACACTGTAGGTTGTTTAACACTATACGTACATCACAGGCTATAGTGTTGTACGGAGGCTTGTTAGAGCGTGGCCACTTCTGGCCAACGTTCTGAAACATTTCCAGATGGCTGACTAATGACGTCTCAGAACTCTAGCCCGAAACGGCTGAAATCAGGGAATTTGTAATGAGGTGATCAGGAGACGGACGGGTTTTTGGTGAAGCTTACGGTACTTCTTACAATGGATGCGTCCATCCTTGCAAACTAAGCTGGCTGGACCATGTGTTACGCATACCGAGTTACCCCTCATCGAGACGATCGCTGTTTCCCGTGCCCAATTCGAATTGGTGGGAACCTAGAGGTGAACAGAATTTGACATAGCAGTAAGGAACAAAGGATGTCATGAGAAATACACTCATTTGCAAATCAAATCAATTTTCACGAGAGACTCAACTGAATCTCTCGTTTATGATGTTCTGCACGCAGGCCGCTTCATGTTTCAGTTGGCACGATACTCGAGATATCTCAGTATATTTTCATAAAAAAAAACTACTCACAAGGTTGCTGAAAACTCTTCGACAGCCCATGACCGGTTTCTCCCTTCCACTTCGGGCTCATCAAGAAGGCACAGTCCCCGAGTTTCCATCAACCTTATGATCTACTTGAACCCAAATTGGACTGCTTCGAGAAATACATTCATTTGGAAATCAATTTGGTTTTCACGGGAGACTCAAATGAATCTCCCCTTTATGATGTTCTTCAACCGAATGCACTGCACACAAGCCGCCCCATCTTTTATTTGGTACGCTAGGATGAGAACTCATGAGCAAGTAACAGTCCATAATTGAGGACGTTTCCCTCTTGTTCATTGATGTCTCTCACTGAGGGCCTTCAAATTGTTCAGTAGTTAAGCGTGGTTTTCTGATCATACGTATTTAGTAGGTGAGTAGTCGATTAATGGCGGTTTAGCTAATGATGATTCCCACTAACACTCACCCCCTTTACTCGTGCGTGAATATAAAGTACGGTACATTAACGAATTTGCAACATGAAAGCCCACAAGGTGACTCATTAGTGACACTTTCGCTAATCAGTCCCTGAAAGGACCGCAAGCAAACCAATTTCTCTCAGTGACAATGGCATACTTTTGCGTTTGCTACAGGTGGCATTTTGCGTTAAATTCTCCTTGAAAAGAAGCCTCACTCCAGAGGAAATTCCTTACCCAAGTGTTTTCTTCCTTTCAGCGAATAATCCACCTAGACAATTGCAGGTTCTATTAACACGCGGGATACGTTTGTCGACTACACGAGTTTGCCCATGTTTTATTGAGCGGACAGTTTTTTATCGTTTAGCTGCTTTACCGGGCGTTTATTTCGCGTTTTATTATCAGTCAGATGCCAAGACGGTGAAAACATAAGTTGGATAAACTGTTAGAGTGTGTGTTTAAATGACTTACTCAGCTTTGAGTTGGCTACGCTACGCTTGGTGCACAGGACGTTGGAGGCTCCGGAAAAAATGGAGAGTAAAGAATAAATCATTAGTTAATGCCAAGCTTCACCAGGTCAAAATGTCACTCAATTCCAGAGATATTTTAGGAGGTAGTAACCTCAGCCAGCCAATAACAGTCTTCCGTGTGTGGGGAGCAAAGGAGGGTTGATCTGATTGGCCTGTGGCAGCTTGGTGTTAAGGATGGATTTCTTAAATTGTTCATCAAAATTATTCTGTTCACGGCTGACGGAGACAACCATGTGTCAAGTCGATATTTGTACCACCTAAATCCGATTACGAGTGAAAGTACATTCCGTTGAACATCACAAGAAATTTAGCACAAAGGAACGATCGGAACCCGAAACTCCTAGCCAAGAGGACGCGTTTGTCTTTTCCGCGATTGATCAGATGGGTGAAGGTGAATCAGGCTGTGATTAGTTGACCCGAGCTCGAAAATTTACACGAGGTACACCAGCTGCTGGACTCTTGTTTTAATCGTAGAAGTTCAAGAAGCTTAATCAAGTGATCATCGATTTGATCCCTCATGCTCGGCTGACCAGCCCAATAAAAAGTAGAAGGCGATCATAGGACTGGGCGTTTCGGGCTCCAACCACTGCTCTACTTTAAGCATCCGGTAAAATGCTACGCTTATGGTAATCACCAGGTCCTCTCTGAGGATCTGTAAAGAGAGTTAGCCTGAATTAGTCAGCAGCACCAGACGTTTAACTTACTGGTTTCTTGTCTAAAGTTAGTAAGTAGCGTATGGTGGCCTCCTGGCCAACTGTCGGTAATAGCCATCGTACTGAAGTCAAACATTAACTCTGATACACCAGCTGACTGGGCTTCACATAAGATGAATCTGATATCCGCCTACATCACAATTGCTCGTTGGTGACCCCTAGACTCATGCATTTTTATCATCAGACTGTCTGTGCAAGTCTCTGCCCTGAGATATGAAGCTTGTCAGTGTCTAAACAGAGGATCACGTGACAGGTCCAGCTACACCCATATCGTGCGGAGTTTGGCCCTTTGCCTGATTCTGTCAGAACAGAACTTGCCGATGGGAACACCAGCAAGGCTATTTTGCAATTTGCAAGTAAGGTTTATACAAACGGCAGCAGGTTTCCTGAATTTTTTAAAGTTCTTCACATACGTTTTGTCAGTGTTAAACACTCCACCGGTGATAATTTTTATATCAGTTTCATTAGGACGCGTATTTGTTTGACCTCAAATAGGGGCGATCAATGATCACTTACCAATTGTTGTCTCCGCGTGCAAGTTAAATTCTTTCGGGTGATGTTGAAGTTTTGTCCCTGGGTCGGCTTCGTAGTATACATAGAAAGTTGCGACGGGGTTGTGCAACGCGTCATCAATCTCGACCAGCTCAGTTTCCACTGCTTCCTTAACCCTGCTGCCAGATATTCCTGGAAAATCCTGAAAAAGTTGGAATTTGATCAGCGTGACCTGGGAATTGCAGTGAAAATGGAGATGCAATGTAGCTGGTTGCACACCAATTTGGTTCACACGGCTAAGTCTAGCTGAATCTCCTGTCTAAAATGTATGCTTCCGGCCAAAGGTACTGCTCGCAGTCTGCCCAAGTCTCGAGACATACGTTTTCTGGACGTAAGAGACTAGGCACAAAGCTGTTGAAAACTCTTTGACAGCCCTCTACGAATTTCGCTCTTTTCGGGGCTCATTAGGTCAAACTTATGTTCTGCTTCAGCCCGCAAAATCGATAACTACACGGATCTGCATATGGGCTTCACACTGCCTATCCAGCTGAATCGTACTCAGCATCAGCTGCATTGCCCAAGTGGTTCGTATAGGTGAGTGAAGCTCAACAAGATGGAACAAGTTAGAAACTGGCTTGCTATTGAGAGGAATGTTGATAGTTCAGTTAGCTTAGATAGTAGTTGGCATGGTCGCTGAGCTGGACAGTCTGATCGCAAACGTCTCATCACCAATCGAGGCGACATGATCATTTCGTTGTTAGGGGGTGTAGGAAAGCGTAGCGATGGGTAGTGTTGCGTGTGTGTTAATATACTTGCTGCTAGTCAGAGTTACCCTTCAACCACGATTGATTGGTTGGTTATTTTAGTTCTGTTTCCTCATTTAAGTGAAACGAAATCGAAAACAAAGAGCGCGCATCATTTCTGGACTAAAATCCTTGTCGATCAATGTGCTGGTCTGGTATGACCCAAATAAATTGGATCAGAATGGAATACCTGCTGTTCGTTGATAAGTCAAAGCCATCAAACGCTCTGGAACCGTCCTTCAGTCTATTGGATCAGCCGAACATTCAGGATTTTATGGCTTAGTGAAGAGCCTGATAAGTCTTGGAAGATCTTGGGACTCAGAAACAGAGCGTAGTATTGCCAACCTTTCAGTAGTGTGGGTTTGAATTCTACGTACACATGTTCAGAAATTTTTTGTCATTTCTCAATTTAACCCCACGACTAGTCGGAATCACACTTATCTGAGTGATTCCAGCCTGCCCCCTTCTTTGAACTGCTTAGTTAGTTCAGAAGGACGAAACTATCCACCTGGGTGGCACTTAGTCTGCTACCTTACCTCATATGACCTGGTGTTTCGTAAACCAATCGGTTCGGTTCATTTGACGGGCCCTCTTGAACTTCGTTTGAACCTTCTGTCAGTCTGTGTGGGTGAGCTAGTGCTAAGGTCGGGGTTGGGGTTTGGGTATTAATAAGGGTTCTAAGTGGACTGACACCCATACAGTCATGTGCCAACTTGGCTTACTTAAGACTGCTTTCCATACGGTCGGCAGCTCCGCACCCTCCATTCTGTTCACGCTGTAATGCCTGGTTATCTCCACCGCCTCGGCTGTCAGCCGATGTGGTGTGAATCGCAGACCCCGTCTTAAGACTTCCACATTCTCCAGATCTATTCTATGTCCCATTTCTAAGGCATGTATCGCCATCGTTGAGCCTTTGACCAGCGTTTGGTATTCTTGTGCATTTTTTGGTTGTTTGTTTATCGTTCTTTTATGCTCACTCAGAGGTAAGCTATTACATCAGAATCGATGTTGCATGGTTGATCCGAAATTTTTGCATGTATCTCATAAAAGAAGAGTACTTTAAGGCATCACAACCGATAAAACATGTATTCGTCTGTATTACTGTCTTGATACAAAGTTACCATTAAGTTTGGCTCATTTGCATACTTGGACGTGATTGAAATTTGCACAGGTGATCGACCAGTCTATCAACAGTTGCAGGTAGGCATATTTTTCTTGAAGTTATGAGGAGGCAGAAGCTCAATCAACAGATGAGCAGCGATCCTGACTATTCAATTACGGCGTTCCCTATTAGTAATGTCTTTCTGAGACTCCAACCACTGTGTATGCTGTAAGACAACCGTTTAGTTTGGAATTATCGGTTTTATTCCATTGTTGTTGGTGTCAAACTCCCAGAACAGGCCCAGAAGAGTTCAAAGCATCACCAGGGGTTTCTAAAAGATTACGCAGATCATTGTTACACGTTCGTATCCATGTCATACTACTCAGGTTGTTCGCGTTTGTTTGCCAAGGCGAACCATGTCAGGCGAGCTTCTTCCGAAGACCATTCCTCAACCAATGGCTCTCCATTTCTCTTCGTCCTCCACGTATGTGGCTTGGATGCCGAACCCACGTGGACGCCGATCGGGAAACAAACAGTTCGTCTAGAGGGACAATCTTTTGCCCTTCCTAGTGATTTCAACTTGAACTCCTTTGGTAGGATCAACGCACCAAGTCTGTACAACATAAGCCCTCGTGAGATAGCCCAGAACCGAAGGCTCAGCTAAAACAGCTTGAGATAGCAGTCCACGGGGTTGACTCCAAGTGGAGCCTACTGAATTGTTTTATGACAACATCAGGATTTTGGGGAACTACTAGGAATGGTCATTTCAATCTGGTCATCTGCTGTTTAGTGAGTCAAACGCGAAATTAGAGAACAGTGTTATTTTCTCGAAGACACCGCAACAAACTGTTTGAAACTACTACTAACATTGACTGTTCTCATTTTAGGCCAAGTCAGTTTCTTACACCTCCAGTATGCGGCGAAACGTTGCACACTACCAACCTAATGGTGTGCTGCATGTATTTTCTTTGCATACTTATTTCACTTTTCGAGAAATACACTTATTTGTAAATCAATTTGGTTTTCACGAGAGACTCAACTGAATCTCTCGTTTATGGTATTCTACAACTGAATGTGCTGCACACAGGCCGCCTCATGTTTCAGTTGACACCATATTCGAGATATCCCAGTATATTTTCATAAAGGAGACTACTCACAAGGCTGCTGAAAACTCTTCGGTAGACCACGATCGGTTTCACTCTTCTTGGGGCTCATCAGGTACCTCAGATATCGTGCTAAATGAAATACAAGGCGGCCTGTATGCAGCACATTCAGTCGTAGAATATCATAAAGGAGAGATTCATTTGAGTCTCCCGTGAAAACCAAATTGATTTCCAAATGAATGTATTTCTCGAAGCAGTCCAATTTGGGTTCAAGTAGATCATAAGGTTGATGGAAACTCGGGGACTGTACCTTCGCCACTGCGCTTTTCAAAAGTGCTGGTTGCTGTGTCGTGTGCCCTCTGCAACCGGTTACATGTACAGCTGAATCGATATCAAACACAACTTGTTACCCACAATCTGTGCGTGAGAAAACCGAAAAATTAGAGAAGAACCCAACTTGTCATCTGCGATTGCCTTTCCTCATGCAAACCTCCATAGCCAGATTGCGTTCACGTAATTCACTACTTATAAGTCTGCTGAAAACTCTTCGACAGCTCACGACCGGTTTTTCCCTTCTTGAGGCTCATCAGGTAGGCGCTTTTTCCCATTTCCCGTCAACCTTATTTTCCACTTGAACCCGAATTGCACGAACTCAGACTAATAAACCCACCTGCATACCAATTTTTGTTTTGAACGGGAGAAAAGTAAATCCAGGTTGTGCTCACCTACTGAGCGTCCCGGGTGGAAGAAACTACTTCAGCAAACTCGTCGAATGAAAAACTCACCGAGGGTTTCAGGGCTTTCACTCTGGGCAACATGTAGTCCAACAAACTTAGGACGTTTCTAACTGGATCAAAGTTGTACTGCAATTTGACCAGAATGACTGGAGAAAAGAAAGGTAAGATTTAAACGGCTGGGAGTAACCACACAGGTATGAAATCAAACACGTCAAATGGTACGGTGACTTTATGTATTTAAGTCGATGGACACCATGGGGACAACTCGATAACACGCTCACTTCAAATGCCAGAGACTCGAATTTCAAACCCTGGCATTGCCTTGGATGTGTTCCGCTGCTGGGTTCAAAAGAAGGAGACTCGAATCTCAATTTTTTATGTGTGCGAACCGGTTTAATCGTGTCGAGACAGAAGAAAAATCATTCAAGCGAGTGTTGGGACAAATTTCCACATATCTGCAAAGATTCATGATTAACATGTCAAACCGAAATCACTCAACCCAATGTCCTTTGGTTGCATACCAATCATGCCACTCCAGATAGAGAGGAGTGTTGGTACACAACCAGGTTGCCTTAACCCAGTCAGGATTAACTGAAAGGCTAATGCTGGGTTCGATCAGTTGCGTTGTGTGTTGATCGCTGAGGTGCCCGTAGCTCAACCAGTGCATCAGAAGAAGGGAGAAGGCCTTCACTGCGGCGTCATTTATTAGAAAACGCCAACTGAACAGTTACAGACTATTGGACAGGGAAGCAAACCTCTCATATGCAACTTGTTTACAAAGCTGAATATCCATCCTCTCTTTGAACATGTCTTCCTGAACTTTCCTGGATATTCATTGCCTGTTACTCGAATGCAAGCAAATGCCACAAATCGACTCCACAAATTCCGTAATAGATCACACTTTTCAAGAGACGCGAAGCGGAATTACTCGCATGCCCCATCAGTAGTATTGACCCGTAGCTCTACCAGTGCATCAGAACTCGCCAGATAACGAAACCCACATCAGAACAGCATCCTTTTTTACATCCTGATAAGAGAACTTCACAAACAGGAGGTTCTATCTGGTCCCCTGCAAACCTACAGTTCACAGTTGTGCTGAGTTACTGGACTACTTGTTCGACCTAAGTAGCTGATGACTAACGAGTGTTCTGTAGTACATTGCCAGGACCTCGTCTTTTACCAACGGAGTCAGTGTTCCAAACCTAGTTTACCGGTGTCATACACCACGAGCCCATAGACACCGAGCAAAGAACCCAAGCTTCAATACTCACGAATCCACTAAAGTGGTCAACCGATTATCTGTGTTGAAAATGCGTCTGGACGTCGGCGTGACGGGCACTGAGTAAAAGTACGCTTCCCGCCAACTGGAACGGAGGTCATACAGCTGGCGCACATAGCCAACTGATAGCAAACTCGAATTTAAATTCACAAGGAACAAATCATGAAGTCACCCCCTGTAAAAGACGTCACTCTTAACCCAACTATCCAGTCGACCTTCATAATGAAAGATATACTAGCCGCTGTCGTGTTTTTTTTTCACCGCCAAAGTGATCAGGCGTATGTTGTGTAATGCATCCTTAGCCGATCTGGTGTAGTTAAGCTGTTCCTCAGATCTGTGTACACCGAAATCAGTCATGTCTCTAACTTGTTCTCTTGATTCCTCACAGGTTTTTCTTGGGTAGTCACAGGTAAAGCGTCCTAACCCTGTACTTAAGTACAACCGAGTGATGCAACCGATCTGGATAATGCTAAAAGGCATTAAAAAGGCTGGTGGATACTACTGATGAAACATGCAAGTAGTTTATGATAGCTTCGAGCCGCATCTGATGGAAGGCAAAATTTACTGCGGAAATTGTGAAACCGCTTTGCAATGTCAATTTACTATTGTGTAACAGTCAATGAATATCCAGGAAACTTTAAGAAAACGCGTGAGAATGTTCAGTTTTTAAAGATTACGTGCATATGACATTTTTAATTTCCCGTCTAATGACTTGTAATTGCTTAGTTCATGCTTGCCAATAAATCACTTCACACCGTGGGCCTTCCGGTAATCACTGGTAGTATGATACTTTGAAAGTCTGATGGAGATATTGTCTTGAAGCTCGAACCAGTCTATGCTGAAAAGCCTCAGGGTGGAACCACCAGCAGTGTGTACATTATGGATCTTCGAAGAGATACGAACACGTGGCAGTCCGGTTAGTAATTGAATACTAAGCTACAATTCCACCGTCACTTACTAGCCAGCAGGGTGGTTCACTTTGTGATAGACACCGTTCATTTTTATATTGCTAAGTGCAACTCATGTGAGCCGGTGTTGAATGGCTTCTGGAGTGACTTAATCGCAAAAGGAAAGCAAATGTTGCAGATTACTCAGTCAGTAGGTCATAAAAAGATCTCGGGATTTCAGTCGGGATTCCATCCCGAAAATAAACAGTATTTTCCAAGTTCGGTCAACATGTGACTCTTGGATGCAAATCCCGTGGGGAGGACGTCGGCCAATCAGCCACTCGTGACCAGCGTGGACACAGCGTTCAAATGCAAACCGAAGTCTGGTCCAAAACCTTAATGAGACTTATTCAAACAAGAACAACCTGTACACTGACTGTCGATTATCCTTGCGGAATGAGGTCAGGATCGGGGCGTTGGTATTTTTCGATCAATGATTTCCGATGAATAATACCAGTATATCGCTGACAACTGCTAAGCACACTACGAACCGGACGATTAGTGAAAGTTCGTCACCACGTTGCTGCAGAACTAACGCTGAAAACCCGCCTATACTCCATCGTGACAATATTAGCCTCTTCGTCTCTGACTGGTTAACCTCTGCTTAACCGCTCAGATCTCGTCTTGCGAGTGAAGCCAGTCTATATTAAAAAGCCAGGAAGCACTGCGTATCTGTTTCGTCCTTATAGGCTTCAGCATAGACTGGTTTCAGTT